TTTTTTTTTTTTTTTTTTTTTTTTTTTTTTTTTTTTTTTTTTGGAAATAGAATTAAAATAGTGAAGCAGCTGGCTTCAGAACCCTGGATGGCTGAGAACAGTGGCTAGGCCACCAAACAGATCCATCCACTCAGATGTGATGTGCGAAAGGCCTCTGCTGTGTTCTCATACTCTGGGCCAAGTCTGAATCCCTGCTCCTTGTCCCTCTCTCCCCCTACTCTGACTTGTAAGTTCTTTCCATGTGAATTGCAGAAGGATAATAGGCTGTGCCTTTTGATACCTGAGTGCTTTTATTGCTTTCATCAAGCTTATTGCCCCTCCAGATCCTCAAGGTCCCGAGAAGGAGTGACTTCATGTTGGTGAAGACAATAACTAAGCTGCCCTTAAGTTATCAGTTAAAGGCTTATAATCCTGTACAACAAAGGGTACCCCCAAATGAGGATGAGACCAATTCTGATGGATTGCAAAGTACTTTAAGTGATTAAAATTCCTCTTGTCATTATGATTGTGTCATTAATTATGTGCAAGAAAGAAATGCAAGAAAGAAACAAATTAGTATATCTTCGTGTTTGGTGACGTAGACATATCAGCTCCTGCTCTATTAATAATGAGATTACATAGAATAAAATGTATGTGGTCAGTGAATTGCTGGCAAGGTCTCTGTGGCTTATATTTCAAGTTATTAGTGATACTAAAAACTTCTGATGTATGAAATATGTGCATATATTTCACTGCTTAGTGGAATATAATCATTAAAAGCCTGTTCATAGTTTAAGAGCATTAAATACTGTATTTTATGCAAAATGTATTATTAACATTGCATGTATTATTAACTTTCACCTAATGTTCTCTTAATTTCATCCTAAATCTAAGAGGTTCACCCAGTCTGTCTGACTGGAAATTCTTGCCCTGCTAAAAGTATATTGAAACAGGACTAACATAGCAAACTACATTTGTATTTCATTTCGTTTACAGCTACAGTATTTCAAAGGAGCAGGTTGAACCCAGATTCTTGCATATGACTCAGACAGTTTCTTTGAAAGTTACCATGTTTCATCTGACAGATTCCAGAGTCTGTATTCCATGGACTGTGACATGAACTTCAGATATAAACTTAAAATGAGAGTCTGTGACTTAAAAGCTGAGCACTCATTCTTTCTCGCCGTGTGTTGATAAGGAAGCTGAGGCCAGCAAGGTATGGGACCCGACCAGTGAGGAAACATGGAAGAAGGAACTGAACTCGGAACTCGGTCAGGACACTCTGCCCTTTCTCAGGCTATCTGCACAATGCTTTTTGAAAAAGCTAGAAGAAAGGGAGTATACAAAGGTGGGGGAAAAGAAACTTAAAAAACAACATATCCCAGGCACAATAGGGTTTTTCAGCAGCATTACAAAACAAGACCATTTACATTCTCACAAAGCACTACTGATTGACAAAGAAAATTCCAGCCCAAACCACCATCATCATTACTTCCTGTGTACAAAATAGGCTAGTTCACAGTCAATTGCTCCCCATTATTTTTAAATCCAGCAAAGCTCAGTAGAGTGAATAGTATGCAAAAGAAAATAGGAATTCAACCTGCTCATTGTCCAATGGCCTGTTATTCAGCCAACTTCCAATGCCTGAAAGCTGGCACTAATGCACCATTAGGGGTTAAAATTTGGGGCAGCTTCTTCTCTTTTCTTCGTGGTATACTTACTAAAGGAGAACTAAATATAGCCACTTAAGAGGCAGAGGCAGGCACATCTCTGAGTTCCAGGCCAGTCTGACCTACAAAGTGAGTTCCAGGACAGCCAGGCTACACAGAGAAACCCTGTTTTAACAACAACAAAGTGCTAAATTGAGGAAATGGGAAGGACTGAAGCAGGGAATGGACATGAGTTAGAAAACAGGACATAAAGCTAACTGTTTCCTAGTTCTAACTCTGTTGTGGGGTTTTTGTTTTGGGTGGTGGATAAGTGTATAAAACATTTGATGGTGAAAGTGTAAAATTTGAAGCTTCCTTTCTGAAACCTATTGTAACTATTGAGTTGTGATGACTTTAGGTCTGGTTAATTTTTGTTTGTGGTGAATTCATTTACTTGCAAGATTTTTGAATGAGAAAGTGTCTTGGTTTGGGTCTCACTGCTGTGAAGAGACACTATGACCAAGGCATCTCTTATAAAAAGAAAGCATTTAGTTGGAGCTGACTTACAGTTTCCGAGGTTTAGGCCATTATCATCATGGGGGAAGCGTGTAGGCATCCAGGCAGACATGGTGCTGGAGATGGAGCTGAGAGTTCTACATCTTGATCCAAAGGCAGAAAGGAACCGTGTGTGGATGGAGCTTGAGCACAGGAGACCTCAAAGCCTCCCCTCACAGGGGCACACCCCCCTCCAACAAGGCCACACCTACTTCAAGAAGGCCCCACCTCCTAATAGTGCTGCTCCCCATGGGCCAAGCATTCAAGCACATGGGTCATGGGGGACCTACTTATTCAAACTACCACATACAGTTTATTTTTAAAAATCAGCCAACAAATGAACAATTTTGGGCTGCTCTTCTAGGTTTTAAGTTATGTTTCATGTAACAAATCTTACTTGAATTCCTGTATCAAATATTATTGTGTTAATTATGTGCTAGATAAGAGTGTAATAACACATCAGGGAACAACTGATATTCCCTGGCTTGGATTTTTCCATTTATAAAAAAGGTGGATTAAAGAAAAAGGAGGGCCTAGGAAAATAATGAGAGGGGTTCAGCGAATGCAAATATGGAGGTTCTGAAGGACATTCTAATTGGCAGAGGAGTAAAGTGTGAGTATCGCCATCAGCGCCATCTCTTCCATTCACTGGAGTGTATGATCTCCATTTTCTGTGAGCTGGTGCCATGACATCTGTATTCTGCACTCCTGTCCTTAGGGGAGTTTGCTTTCAGTCTCAAGTTTTCTTACTAAAGGGCATTTGAGGAAGCTAGTTGGATGTCCCCTTTTGGCCTCTGATCCCAGAACTTGGGAGGCAGAGTAAGAGGCAGATCTCTGCAAGGTCAAGACCAGACTGGTCTGCATAGTGAGTTCCAGATTAGCCAGGGCTGCATAGTGAGATTCTGTCTACACACACACACACACACACACACAAACACACACACTAGATTCTTGTTACTATTAAAATTCCTTTCAGTAGGAAGCTGCTTAGGATGTTTCTTCCACAATGACGTAATTTCCCAATTGACAAAAGAAGTTTCCATACAGGAAAGGAGGCATGCAACTTCACACACCACCTCCTTTTCCCCTTCTTATTTGTTTTTCATCAGATCCCAAGCCATCTCTGGCTTGCATTTGACCTCGCTCTGAGAGCTGTTGGTAGTGGGCAGGGACCGATGAGAAGTCACTGCCTCAGGAGGTCACGGGCTCTGGTTGAAACTTCCTTTGGCCTGAGATGATCTGCTGAGGGTCTAGACTAGACTTCTTGTATCACACCCCGTCTAGCTCGGTGGATCTTTGGTCCTTTATTCTGCTTCCCAGCCTGTGTCCATCTTGTTTGTCTGTCCGCATTCTGGCTTTGGTCTGTGTCTTTTCTTATTTCCCAGGCTTTGTCGACCCCCTCATAAGGTGCTGCGTGTCTTTTGCTACCCAAAGCTAGAGGAAAAAAAAGCTCCTACGTCTTACTTAATGTACGCTTACAGATGCTGATAATGACTTCGGGCACTCTGGAGAGTGAGTGCGATCTTCATTTTGTCAGGCATAGAGCACCTTTTAGGTTTTAGAAATTCTAGGAACCCATACGCTTCTGTGCCTCCTTCAATCCAGCTGTCTTTTATTTGACTCTGTTTGGAGCTAATAGCCCTGCGTACCAAGCACTGTGAAATGCAGCTAAGTCTCTACCACCCACTGTGTAAGAAAAACTTGCAAAGATGGTTAACTGTGCCTCTTTATTT